TATTTTGGCTGGGCGATTAGAGCGAAATAAATTGATGGTAACGCATCTACTAATACCGGAACAAACTGGCACCCCAGATTCTTGTACTACGCATAACGAAGAAGATATCTTTGATTATCAGGATCAGCATAATCTTATCACTCTCGGTTGGATTCATGTACGTAGTAATTTACTTTGCGTTTTTATTTCTAATTTCTATTTTTAATTTGTCTATTTTAAATATAATTATGTTATGTATTACGTATTATAGACACATCCTACACAGACTGCATTTTTATCAAGCGTAGATCTTCATACGCACTGTGCTTATCAACTGATGATGGCGGAAGCTATAGCGATAGTTTGTGCGCCTAAATATGATGAGTACGTATGAAAAAATTTTGTGTACACTTTATGTTGAATTCTTCAAACGGTTATTTAAATATTTGGCATCTGACGTCGGTTGAATTCAGCTAAATTCAACTAAATTACGGATTAGTATGCTTCCTAATATACATGTTTCCTCTTTAGATTCAAACAAAATTAAATTTTACGATTATTTGCTTTGTAGTAACTTCTTTTTTTTTTTTTATTTGGATAAATATCTATTCTACATTAACTTTGAAGCGTACTTACGTGTAGACATTTGTGTCCCCTCCCTGATGTACAAATATAATATAAAAATTTTAATTGTCTATTAACTTAGAATTAAATCAGAACTTGTTTTGATATTTAGTGTGATTTTTATTATAAATATTTTTTACAGGACAGGATTCTTTATCTTAACACCTGATTACGGCTTGGATTTTATCGCAAATTGCAGAGAAACGGGATTTCATCCACATCCTACTGAACCACCGTTATATACAGTAAATATATTACAATTTATTTAAAAACATTTTTAACAATATTAATTAAAATTTGAGTGATTAATAATAAAAATAATATATAATTAAATGTTGAGTTAGTAAATTCAAAAAATGGAGTATTGATCTATTACTGTACACGAGTAACGAGTAACCATAAATATTGATAACTCGATAACTAATAATTCGATCTTGTCATAATTAATATTGTCGTTTTGGTTTGGTATCATGAATACTTACATTACACACTTTTTACTGTTTCAGAAAGCAAGACACTACAAATTAGACGTAATGGCACTCCAAGTGGTAGATTTACGAAGAAAATGATATATCTCGGATACGAGATAATTTACTGAAAAATATTTCTAATTAAATCTTGGAAAATAGCACGTTACAATAAAAATCGCGAATCTTATTACGCGCGTAGTGCATAATTAGTCTTATTATTTATACTTTTACTGTTATTGCTATCACCGAGGGTGGCAGTGTGGTCTTGTGGTAAAGCGCCAGACTCGTACGTCCGTGGAACCAGGTTCGAGCCCACCTGATCACAACGTCCTGTGATCAGGTGGACTCGAACCCAGTTCCACGGGGTTACGAGTCTGGCGCTTTACCACAAGACCACACTGCCACCCTCGGTGATAGCAATAACAGTAAAAGTATAAATAATAAGGCTTGTATTTGTATTTAATATTTTCTCAATTTTAATCAAAAGTTTTAATTTATTTATTACAAGTATATTTACACGTATTGAACAAGCGAAATTAAATGTACATAACATAACATAACCTTTGTTACATTAATATTTTATTTTTGTTGTTTTCATAGTTTCAACAAGGGGTTCTGTTACGTTCTGCTTAAAATATAAATGACGTTTTGAAAAGGATATAGAATATATTTTATACATTTTTCATGTTTATATGTTACATAAAAAGACAAAGTTCAATAATAAATGCCGTAGACTCATACGTGATTAAAACTTCAACTTTATTTTATATAGATGACTATTTTAATTTTTAGTTTAGATATTAAAATAGTCATTGAAAATGTACCTTTGATTTTTTGTTTAAATAGCAAGTTTAATATAAATAATTTTTTTTTATTGTGTAACGTTCTCATTCACAAGACGTTGTACCGTTTTAAACAACGTTCAAATTAAAATAGATATCTTACTTTCCTTCATAAAAGATATATAAAGTTCATCGTGCCTTTTTGAAAATAACAAGTGTTCATAACATTGAATTCTAATCTTATGCTAGATACGCGAAAGACATCATGTCACAAAACGCTTTGTATATATTAATCTTACTGAAAGATACGTGTGTAGATGGTATGAATATATATGTGAAATAGAATTATTTATTCATTTTGTTTGATCAATTATATTAATCGTTTATTGATTCAATACGTATGCATAAAAATAAAAAGCCACTGAATATATTACGGAAAAATGAATTTATTTATAAACCTTCCCTTATGGAAACCAGACATCTTAAAAAATAAAACTGGTAGACATTATTTTGTAAAATTTATCTACAGAGAGGGGAATAAAGATTCGTCCATTTGACTCCTCCCATATTCATCTACAATCTGGCGCGTAAATAGCTATCTTACAGCGATGAGAACGTACCAATGTGATGGTACGTAGTCAACGTAACAATATTTAGCTCTTCTTTGTGACGATAAGTGGACCCACGTTGTCATTGCACTCGTTGTTATGACGTCCATGAGTACCGTCACAGTAAGGCCACTATATATAAAAAATGATTAAAAATGTAGATATACGCACACTCACAACTTTTAATAAACAGTTATTTTAGAGAATATAAGTAATAAATATTTATAAAGAATTACAAATTGAAAAATACGTAGGACTACGTTTTCTTTTATTTAATCACTTGCTTGTGTCTTTTTGTAAGAAACTAAATGGAATATCAAAATGTATATATATGTTTCCTGATCTTAGGAAATTTATATAAGGAAAGAACTTACATTTTCAGATCTCCAACAGCGACAAAATACAGCTTTTTCAGAGATATCTTCGATATCAACACTGTCCACTACTTTCGCAATGTCTTTCTTTATTTTGAGATTGACGCAACCATTTGGCTATAAAATAAATACGTTGCATTATTACATGGAAGTGGTTGGAAAAATTAATAGACGTATAAACATATTATTAAAAGAAGATTATCATAAAAATAGTAAACGTATTAAGAAAGGAATAATTTGGTTTCTATCGTTATTCATTATATATGTATATATAAATATAATATATATAAATTATAATAATGACAATGTTAAGTAAAAATTAATTTATCCAGAATACAGATGAGATACTTTTTCTTGAACGTGCACTATTATATTCTTTGCGTTAGAAATGAGGTAGAGAATAAAACGTTCCATACCTCGAGTTTTATTTAAATGACACGTTTTCTGTGTGTGTACCAAGTATAATATTTGAATTTTTTAAAATACAGAACAGTTAAGACGTACAAAGTTGAGCTCCGTTACCCTCAGTTTGCAACAAATTTATGGCAAGTTGAGAAAGTCATTATCTGGAAGTTACATAACTTTCCTAGATATCATAACGGATCAACACTTAACTCTTGTTGTCCTTGATACTTTCTATACAAGAGATAGGCATAAAATACATACCGCAGGTCTGCCATGAGGACAAAACGCCCTGTAGGACATGTATCCTACACCCGCGAGAAGGGCAGTGGGTGGCAGAAGGGCAAACCAGTCCCTCACTGGCATAAAGAAAAAAAGGAGTAAAACGACATGACGTAGAAAAGAATTAAACAGTCTTTTAAATCGAGAGGTTATGTCGGAGTCTGGAAAACGGTACGTCGAGGTACAACAATAGCTGACGCGAGGCATGGAACTGTACGGTGAAAATTACCTCCCAGCCGGAACCATCCACCTATCGACTCGGGAATCGGTAGGCCGGCCAGATAATTCGGGACGGACACTTTGATAAGATGCGCGATCGGTTCCATAGTCGCTCGGCTTGGCTGACTCGGCGACTGACGACAGGCGACAGGCGACACTGGCGACACTCGGGCAACAGTTCCAATCGCCGATTCGCCAACGTTCGCTACAGTGCCGAACTACCTGCAAAATCAGTTTTTTTGGCAAATCGCTATATTCAAATACAAATAAGTGCCTCAAAATAAGATACGAGGCATTTTAAAAATCTAGCTACATTTAACGTTACATCTAACACGTAAATCGGAAAACCGGGAAAACTGAAAAACGTCCGCTCCCCTCAGTCGCGCACTGCCGCACTCGCCTATACACGCTCCTGATCGGCACGCTGCGCGATTGGTCAGCAGCGAGACATGGAGGGGGTTCGCGGTGACGAGGTGAAAGACCGGTGGCGCGCGCAGGTGGCGCCGCGCGCTCGCTTAATCAGTTGCGGGTTGTCCACCGGCCAGGTGAGAAAGTTGTTATTATTATTTGTACTCGCGCGTCTTTCGCCGCGATCCGCGATCCGCGACGCTGCTGTATACACGGCGTCGCGTCCGTACGTCCGTAGTCGCGTCTCCAGTTTCCAGTCTCCAGTTCGCTCTGCCGCCCGAGTCGTCCGAGATCCGTTCTACCGCGACGGGCGACCGCGAGTCGCGAGTGACGAGTCTCGCATCTCGCGAGAGAAGAGTGGCGACTGGCGAGTGGCGCACGCGTGTGCGGGGTGAGCCGCCGCGAGCCTCGAAGCTCGAAGGCTCGAAGCAGTCGAAGCTCGAAGCAGCAGTCGCCGTGTCTCCTTTCTTCCTCGCGGCGTCGAATGAGAACGAGAGAGACCGTGACCGTGCGCGACCGACGATCGTTCGCAGTGCGGCGCGCGGAAGGGGGGTGGGCGCTTCCCCGTCCCGCGCGTGGGTGTGCGTGCCCCGACTGCCCCGACTGCCCCGAGTGATAGATACACAGTTCACAGTTGTCGGGTGGCTGACAGAAGCGCGGAGGGCGAGGATAACCCAAATAAGGAAGGTGCGCCCTTTACCCGTTACCTCCTCGATCGGAAGTGCAAAGGTGCGAGAGAGAGGCAGAGGGAGAGGGAGAGGGAGAGAGTGTGTGAGATCGTGAAAACGTGACATTACGGCAAATGACAGCGAAGAGGTGAGGATCAATGTGCCGTGATGGCTGAGGAGGAGCTGCTGGTCACCCTGTGCCGCGGCGACTCCGGCTCCGGCGGCTCTTTCGGCTTCTCCTTGCTCGGCGCCTCGGCGTCGGCGGGCCTGCCGGCCGCCCACGTCATCTACGACATCGTCGAAAACTCACCGGCGGCCAGGAGCGGCAAGGTGAGTTACACTTTACACTAGTCTAGTCTCCACTAGAGTTACAGGACGGCGGCTCCGGACTCCGGCCTCCGGCTGTAGAGTGTAGACTGTAGAACGGTGCTTGTGTGTGTGTGCCGTCGCGTTCACGTCCGCGTCCGCGTCGTAAGGACGATTTTCGCCTACCTCTCCCATCGGAACGTGATCCTTACGGATAAACGATTCTCGCGCGATCGATTTTTGCGCGATGGTACGCGTTTTTTTCCCCCCCAAATAAATGAAACAACGATTTTCGTACGGTTGTCCTTACGCCCTTACGGCATAACTACGGCATGGGAACGCGACTCTTAAGAATATAAAACAGCGCGATGATTAACGATTTTTCCTACAGCTGCATCATTGGAAATTAAATGTTGTAACCTTGGGATAAACACGTTAACAAAATCACTTTTGTGTGCACCCAGTTTGAGAACGTGATACTCGCGAATCGATTAGATAACACGCGAGATGCTACACGTCTCGCAAGATTGATTTTCGCTGCTCTAGAGTGAGAAATTTGATCTTTTGATCTTTATAAATAAAGAAAATAATGGATTTATTTAATAATATAAATGTAACAAAGGATTAACGATAAATAAGAGAAATAAACGTTATTAAGTTTTCACGCGCGCCTACGATATATAGGTGAGATTATTCTTTATAAATAAACGCTACAATTGTTTTAAAGTCGATATTTACGTGCTGTCCGTGTCGGAGATTGATTTTTCATCGATAAGCATTGAAACGAGTGACGTGAAGTGCAAGAAATGAGAGCTTCTCATAAGGTATTTTACATACGAGCTCCACGCGATACTGACTCGAAGAGAAAAAACGTGCATTTTTCCACCACTGCAGGCTGGAAATAGACCAAGACAATTTAAGCGTGTCCTTAGAATACGTAAAAATATTGCAGCTTACAGCTGTTTTTTCCAACAACTTATCCTTTTGTAAAGAGGAAGAATGAAATTTAGCACTTGAAGAAGGCTCTTCTCAACGTTCTTTAAAAAGCACTCGATATACGTACGTGAATGAGAATCGACAGTCCTAAGTACAACCTAAGCACCTAAGCACTTGCGATACTCGAAGTAAAAATAAGATATATTATTTCCAACGGAATCTAGGATTCTAGAATCAATAATTAATTAGAATTAAAATATTGCTTATTATTTGTTTTCTCGTAAGCTGTCATCCTTAACTATTATAAATATAAATTTATAATAGCACAATAATAATAATCTTGTCAAGTTAAATTTTTATTATTTGTTACACGTATTATTTGAGTTTAACACGTGGAAATCTTAAATTATTTATTTAAGTTTAAAGTTCTCAAATTGGTAGCATTAAGTAGTGATTTTTTAAAATTACAATTTTTGATGAGAAAATAAAAACTTGAACGTTAAGTTTTAATAAAAAATAGACTTGTTTATCTCTGATCATGTATCAATATTACTTATGTATAATCTATGTGATAAAGAAAAAAGAAATAAATGAGAACGTAATCAAGATACTTTTGCTGTCATAAATAAATGATTTAAACAACATTTAGATATAATCAAGTAGAAAAGACTGGTTAATGTGGTTACGAAGTCGCGCAAGTCTTGGGCTAAATTTAGTTTTGACGCTGGAAACGAAGAAAAAAATGACGAAGACAAGATATGTGATGTAAAAGCGAGAGTGCACCAGCTGCATTCTTTCTGCGTAACGGCACAGTTTTGCGAATAATATTTAATAACTCAGAAGAGAAGTCAGAAATTTCACGAGCTAATTTTGTGGATATCAAATATCAAGTATATCAACTACGTAAAAAATATTTAGGTAATAATTGAGGCTAATAAGGGTAGTGAATTGTTGAAATTACGTGTCGATTAATAAATTTTTAAAATATAATTTAAACATGGACGATCTTAAAAGTTGTTTGAGTTTATTTTAAACAATATTGCACCATGGGAGAGTACGTTTGGCCTGCTTTACGTTTTTCAATCAGCTGACTTCTTAATAAAGAGAGTTGCTTTTGACGATCATTAATTGCTCCGAGAAAGATGTTGAGCCTCCTGAGATCATTGGAAACTGCATCCGTGCGAATGCCGGGGTATGGGCAGCTGGTCCAAACTGGTCCGTCGTCCCAGAGCAGATCCAGCCCTCCGATTCTGGTCTCGTGTCCGCTGAAGCGACCCTCCAAACAAAATTATCGATTTATTTATACGAAAAATGTCTTAAAAAATTTTAAACTTTTATTTAATATCTATTTTATAATATTTTGAATATTTTAATCAAGAACATAAAAAATATATTAAATATAAAAAATAATTACAAGTGTATATACCTATATATCCAAATGTATAAAAAAATATAAATATATATAAATATTTTTATTATTAGCTATATATGGTATGCATAATTAAATTTGATTGTTGATACCTCAAAGTCGAGGACGTTGAGAACGTCGTCGACCAGATCGGATTTCAAACGTTGATCCTCGTTGTCGGTGCCCGTTAAAGCTGGGGATGCGTTAATTTCCAATAGCCAAGGTCGCAGATCATCGCTGAGCAATATATCGTAGCCATAGAGTTCGAAACAGTTGCGATCCTGCATCATGGCTGGTTGTACTGCCAGTAGGCTCCCCATTATTACACCTGTAATAAACATAGATATAATACATTCATATTACACGAACCAAGATAAATTGTATAAAGCGATTAAAGTATTCGTCAAATATTATTAACATATAACAGTAACATGTATAACAGTTTGATAATTTTATGAATACCTGCAATGCGTTGCATCAAATTTTCAATAACTTCCGCCTTGTAATAAGCTGTCAAATAATCTCTGAGCTTGTTCAATGCCCATTTGCAGTTCCATTCCCCGTTCTTGCCTTTCATTGAAGAGATACCCTCGGCATTCTGACTTGCTTTCAACTGTATTGCCGTATTCGTCAAGTGCACTCTGTTGTCGTCAATGTTTTCCAGATCGAACAATTGGCCACACAAACGGGCAAAACCTTCTCTGGCCAGCCACACTTTCAAAGGATGAAATGATGTCACCAATACATAAATCCGTAGATCGAATTTTCGCCCTGAAATCAAGGATTTAAATTTTATTGCAAAATAAATGAGATGGTGTTGAAAGGATTCAAGATACCTGCAATGGAATTAGTTCACAATTTTACTTTAATACCTAACATCAATTAGCAATAATTAACAAAATATAAAATTATATATGTATAGCGTATATATGTAGAGTATATATAAAGTATTAATAAAGTATATAAAAAAATATATATAATATAAAACAATTAAATATTCAGTTTTTAGTCATTACTTAAAATTGAGGAATTAATATATAGTCATGAAATTTAAGTATGTACACAAGCGAGCTCGCACACTTGAATTTCAATTTTTCAACTATATCTATGTATAACTTTTATTATAATTTATATTATAATAAAATATGTTTTAATTTATGTTATTTATTGTAATAATATTAATTATATTAATGTATATATATTTACTAAATGATAGTATCGATACTGAAAACTAAAAGATCTGAATTTTAACCTGCGACGAGATAAGGATTATCTATGTATTTTTGAACGACATAAATCTCAGTTGGAATTCCCGATTGCTGCGACTTAGCCCCTCTGCTTTTCCATTCCGCAAGATCCTTCAGCTTCCTAAACAGAAAGATACCCTTGCCTCGTGATCTCGCTACTGGTTTGACGATCCACGTAGCTCCTTGTTGCCTACGATCATCATTTATCATTTCATTGATTTTAACTCCATAATTTTAACCCTACATAACTATATATTCGGATCGTATTTTTTCTCTAAAATTTCTTTCACATTTTTATTTGAATACGAAGAATACAAAATGTAAACCAGAATTTTTGCAGATTTTTAGAATACATAATAAATATAATAATAAAATTTGACATTACGAAAATATATTTTGTGTGTGTGTGCGTGCAAATGTAAAAAATTTAAAAGTTCACTATGGAAATTGTCAGATACATGAATTTTATAATATTTTGAATAAATATATTTAAGAATTACATGGAAAGTTTCTTTTTACATGAAATACATCTATATAATCTAAAAATCCTTAAAATATCAATATCGCGTATCGATATTTATTTCTTGCTCGTGATATTTTTCTCGATAAGAACTTCTGATCAAATATAATATTTCGATAACGATAAAATCGTAAGAGTTAGGTAGGATAGTGATAAACTTCTTTTACAAGAAAAAGAATATAATATTAAAATTAAAATTCATCAAATTAATAATATCTATCTAATTAATAATAAACAAAAAGTAAATAATAAATACCAAATAATTTTACTTGTGATATTCCTCGACGAACATCCGGTAGTCGCTAGGCAGCTCGAAGGTCACAGGCATGGCATCGCTGATGCGAGCCTCGGCTGTTTTTCCAGCCCTTATGAGAGCCTTTCTGTAGCGTTTGAGATTGCGGTACAGGTAGTTCTTCCGCGTGAGCTCATAGTGGTTACGGAAATGCGGCACCCGCTGGTAAGGACGCAGCTTCTTCCGATCCCCGTCCAACGCCTGTCGCAGCCCATCCCCTGTTTCGCACCACCACAGGTGCCAGCTAGTATCTTCGGGGTCGACTATCTCAAAGAAGAAAGACGCAACGTTCACTAATTACCTTCACTAATCTGACACTCTCACCACTACAAATTTTTAACTTTGAAAAAGCAATAAAGATCGGAAGATGTTTAATTCAGGATATACAGATGGTATTGTATGGTATTATACAGATATATCTCAAGCTTAAATATTGCATTCACTTTTTATTTTTCATGGTTGTATTTATAATTATTCAATATTTTTAACATCTATTTACAGTATCTTAGAGCTTCTAGCATTTAATTATGTCATATATTCGAACTCTATTTGTAGTGGTGTGTAGGTGCTATATTATCATCAATTAATGCTGGGTTCTATAATGTTTTTTTTAATAGTGAGAATGCTATAACTTTTTCTCTCTCCTCTTCCTTTATCTGTATGTGTATCGTTAAATAAATGTCTTTTTTATTAAATGGTATTTTGTATATATTAGAGATTCCGTAATATCAAAAACTTGACAAAATTACCTGTGCCCAACCTCTTGCCAACATTACTTCAACTTGCGTAGAAGGAAAATCACAACGAAATTTGACAACTTTATCTTCAGAAATCTGCTTTTTTTTTATGTCGCAGGGCTTTTTTCCCCCACTTGATAATTTGGTCGTTTCAGTCTCCGAAAGGATAATTCGTGAATCCTCCGATATCTTTTGCATGTTATTCGTGGTGTATCAAGATGATTGAACGACTATTCAGACATATTGAAGATGATGCTCATTTATTATTATTAGTTTATACAGTGTGTTTTCAGAGATTTAACTCTTCTTTGATCTCCTTTGAGCTTCTTATGATAAGTTTTTTATTTTTTTATATTAATATTGGCATTAATTTGGTTTAAAAAATATAATATTACATGAAATTTTGTAATATTAATTCAATTTTTTTAATTTTAATTAAATTTTTATCTGCAAGATAATTTTTATTAATTAATATACATTTGGTGTATCTCGTGGTTTTTACCACCTCTTTCCCTAAAAAGAAGCTTAAAAAGATTTATGATGCGCTAACTGACTTTATTTCACCGATGGATTTTGCACTTGAATAAACGTTTATATAAGCACACGTCTTATTTAATGTTGTCATAAAGTTACAACAACGTGTGTGTTCTAGTTAATAAATCTAGTATAATAAATCTGTATCTCTGATTATAATAAATCCAAGAAACTTGGAAATATGAGAAGGTAAGATCAAATACGACATTCGTGTTCATATGATTTTTTCCAGTACTGAATTTATCTCTGAAGTAGGGTCTTAACATTATAGAATACCTTATATTGCGATTCCATCGATATATTAATGATTGTTTACACAAGTCAAAGTGCATCGTGCGTAGAATGGTCCAATACTCTAATAGAGGACGGATTAGAGGGCAGCGGGAAGAAAGTCAATGTCATCGCGGATCCGAAAATACAATTGGCCACTGGCCGAAAGCTTCACGTTCCGGCACGCATTCGATCAGTCGCATTTTGTCGGTTGCGAGTGGTCAGTGCTCTTTCAATGTGAATAAAGAATTCGGAATCGTATCCTAACGCGTGCATCGAATGCCCAAACTCGCATCCTGTCTGTCGTGCTGTTTGCGACCTTTTGACTTCTTTCTGAGTGGATGTTCTAAAAGGGAGAGATATGATTACGTTGAGTACATGGCACTCTGTGAGGTAAATCTCGTAACTTTGTGTGAGAATTCATCTAAATAATTATGTAACATAAGAAAAGAGACACATAAGTTAATAAAACAATTGACGACGTGTTTGGAAAAGATTGTGATTTGTCCTGTTGTCACTAATTGTTATCTTATTTATTATTATTACGTATTTTTTTAGTTAAAAAAATGATGTTATATATTAATATATATCATCAATTTATCTCTGAAGATTAAACGTCACCTTTAAATTAAATATTATAAAAACTTCTATATTATTGAAAATTATTAATCATTATATTTAATTCCATAAAAATTGCATTTCTGTTCTATAACACAGAATAGAATATCTTTGTTCATAAAGATTGAACAAATGTCATACTGTTTACTGGTAAAGCAACTGGTGCAGATAAACTAGTATCCTTTCATTGAACTTTTCTTGCCTCTAATGTAATTTCATAACAGGACTTGCTTTCAGGCTTTCACGCAACGGCGATCGTATGCGTTTTCAATCGGTTGTGCGTAAAAATATATCGATATGCATAGATTAATATTTATATCATTATTTAAAAATATGTTATGATCAAAGGTGTCATCACTCTTTAATTATTTTAACGAATTTGATATGTAACAAAGATATATACATATGTGCTGAAATGTGAATATAATGTTTATATAATGTATATTTTTTATAGAGATGATTTCTGCTTGATTTTTTCAGGTCGAAGCTGGTGATGTCATACTCAGGGTGAACGAAGTTGATGTCAATCGATTCAGTACGAAAGAAGGTAAAAATATTATATTTACTAAATCTACTTCTTGATCTAATACATACATGATGATTCTTCAAATTTGAATTCAATTATTATTATTGTGGAATTATTGTTTTATCATCACTCTCTCGCAATTGCGAGTTTAAATATAAAATATAATAATAATATAAAAAGTATCTGACGTATGTTTGTATATACCAAGAATTAATTAAAATCTATTATATTTTTTAACGAATTATATTATCCTCTTTATACATATATTATTAATTAAAATATAAATGATAAAAAACAAAATAATTGCGATTTTTCACGCTTTTGAGAGTCGATATTTTCTTTTTATATTTATATTTTGTCATTTATTATATAAATTAAACGTCACTTAAGGCAAATTCAACATGTAACCTAACATAATTCAATAATGTAACTTTGATGGATTAATTAGAATTTTGATTCCATTAATTGGACATGACCATCGAAATAGAACTTGATAATACTTCAGAGAACAGAATCTGTAAGATAATTTGTTAAAAATATGTAATTAATTTAATTAATTATATTGTAACGATAATTAAAAAATTATATAAAATTTTATGGAATTATGTACATGATACATAAATTCCAAATTATCTTTATTATATTAATTTTAAGTTAGATGAATTTCCTTGTACTCCATAAAAAATAATACAACATTTTAGAATCATACATTATTATTTATTTATTTATTTATTGGAGAAATAAAAAGTATACATATGTAACAAAATAATTTAATATATATAAAGACGAAAGAGAAAAAAAGGAATTGTATGGAAAGGAAGGAGATAAAAGAGTGGAAAAAAGGAAGGAATGAAGAAAATATAAATTCTGATTTTAAAATTAATTATTTTAAAAGTTAATTTGTTTTATCATTGATTTGTTTTAGTATTGAAATGTCTACGACTGTCTTCAGATCCCGTTACTCTGAAGCTGCGAAGGGGTAAGTGCGAGATCTCTTAATAATGCATGACCTATAATTGACAAAAGCTTATATATTAATCTTCTACATAAAATTCATGATTTCGTATACATATATCATTCAAACGTCGTTTATACTATAAATGCAAATTGATTATGTATTCACGAGGCTGCTGAACTCTTACTATCGTAAGGTATCTAATGATAGATCATTGTCTACACACGTTCTTGAACCTCAAACTGTAGTAATAATAGAATTAACGCTGTAATAACCATCGTGGGTAACGCGATAAACAGAAAAAGTTACGCACCTACTCCACGGAAAGGGATGGCCGATGACCAAGGACGCGTGATTATCCGCACGAGCGGCTTTCAAACGATGCACGAGAACGACAAACGATTTTCTGTCAGACGATTACATTGATCTTTCAAGGGACGCTTTTATGTTTTTTGTTTTCCATTTTTATTGTTTATTATTATTTTTTTATTATCTTTATTAGTTTCAATTAACGAATTTATTAAACTCTGATAATTTTAATCTTTTGCCTGATAATAATAATAACAAACAATTTGATGTCAGACAATTTCAATGATCCCTTATGTTTCACTTAAAAGAACATTTCCTGCATTTTTTCACAACTTCCATAATTTTCTTAGAACGTTTTTATTAATATCTTTATTATCAATCAATTTGTAACTGTATACTTACTGGTAATAATGGCAATTCATTTTTTTATGATGATTGTAATTTTAATTATATAGTAAATCATGAAAATTGCCAATTATCTAGCGTTGAGATAAATTCTCAATTTTTTTAACAAAAATGTTACGGAATACTGAAAGTTTTTAAGTTATGTGCAATTAAAAAAAAACGTGTTTTTCTAATTAAACAAGATGAAAAAATTATATTGAATAGCTTTCAATTAGTATTCTTCAATTAATTTCAAATAGATTCTAATAGAATTTTGTTTAAATTACAAACACATATTGGAAATAATTGGAAAATCTCATCAAAATTTTTGCTCAAGATAATTTAACGCTAAAAACACCAAATTTATTTTTATCGAACATAACTTGATAAAAAATATTTTTAGCGCAATATTTTAGGTATAATGACAATAAAATAACGTAATATAGAGCGTAATAAAGATTTAGATGTTAAAAAGAAAAAATTATGCAGATCCTGCGGTGAAGGCTCATGTTCGTCGTCTTCTTTCCCCCGGACAACCTACGAAGGATGAAGGTACAGAATCTTCAAAAGATGTCTTGGCGAACAATCCCAAGAACATCGTCGCTTCCAGCAATGTAGAGAAGAAGGAACTCAAGAAGATGCCAGTCACACCAGAAATGTCCATAGACTCGCCAATGCTGACACCGACGCCTGCAGCGACAACGAGGAGCAACGGCTCGTGCAGCGATGCCTCTCTCTCATCGGAATTAGAGGCACTCTTGCCACCTGTGGACCATTTTAAGGAAGAAGAACGGACCCAATGGGAGCCTCTGTCCGCCGACAAATTCTCACGACAGAAAAATACACCTCGGTATGAATCGCAGTTTTAATCATCCGTTATCGCATTCATTTGAACATGGTCACTTTTATTTCGATTTCAATCATGTCAAAATGATTGTGCGCACAATTACATTTTTATTACACGCTTGACTAAATGACAAAGTATTGGGGAAACAGTGCAATAGAAATATAGAAAAAAAGATATAGAAATTCGACAATATGGTAAAGCGACTTGGCTTAATTTTTCTTTTCCTTTTAAATTACAACTAATATTCTCTTTTTTCTCTTCCTTTTTCTTTTTCGACTTCTTTACTCATCTGTGAATCTATGCTAAATCATCTGTGATGTCAAAGAATGTTCTTATTAATATTTCGCATTAGTAATGAAGCTTATTATTTGTTAGGTTTGAAGCGTACATGATGACCGGTGACCTGATGCTAAATCTCTCCCGCACACAACAGAGCAGTAATCTGCTGCCTAAGCAGCATCAACAGCGAAAGGTGGACTCCCTTAGGTACAATCCCAATCATCAGCACACCACTACCACCATCACCACCACTAGTGCCCACCACAACCACAATCATCATCATCATCATCACCATCATCATAACTCGGTACCCAGCAGTCCCAATGAGACCCAGCTGGCACACCAGCACCATCATCATCGAGGAAGCGTCTATAAAACTTCCAGCTCGGCCAGTACATCACCCGTAGGCGCTGCTAGACGCGACGGAGTGCAAAGCACTTCGGGGGCCTTGGTCCAAGTTGATCCGGGCAAGAATACTCCTTCAAGTTTCGGTTTTGTGCGTACTTCGCGATCGGAAGACCATTTGCAGTTCCAGAAAGATCCCTCGATGAGCGCTGTGGATATCGACATCGATGACGATGTTACTTCAAGTCTGAACACGCTGCTAGATCCACGGCCAGAAGGCCTAATGCCAAACGAGCGAATCGTCTGGACTTATAACGCGCCTGTTAGCTCACCAGCTGTTTCCTGCTGCCAAAACGGCGGTTCCTCATCTTCGTCTTCGTCCTCATCATCCTCTTCGACGAGCCCACAGCGTTCTCTGTCCCCTGCTTCCCCTACCTCCGTCTCGTCCTCCGTTATGTCCTCCAACTCTGGTTCCCGTAGGTTCCCTCCGGCTCAAACTGTTCCCGGGGTTTCCAGCACCCCGGGAAGTCATCTCCCCGCTAACGGCGATTTCAGCCAGTCGGAGGCCATCAGCAACATGTCCAGTCCCGACTACAACGATGAAGAAACAATGGATATTCTCAGTGCGAGGGATATTATGATGGTCAGCGATCCCAGTGACAGCGATTCCACCATTCTGGCGAGTGAACCACCTCAGAGAAGACTGAAGGCTAATCCTCAGGATGCTGGAGAACATAGAATAGTGATTCAGGTAAAAGGACCTGACAAGGAGACTCAAAGAAACACGAGTCCCAGGCAGGCGAGGAGAAGAGGAAATCCCATTGGGGAACTAGGGCAGCCTGTTGCATCTCAAAATTTGCAGCGAAATCAACCTGGAATTCCAGGGGTTCCTGGAGTCATCACAGGATCTGTGACACCCGAATGTGTAGGTTATCAGGTAATATTATCAGGAAATTTCATCAAATTTTATTTAGAATAAATTAAATTAAATTATTACTATTTTACTGGTGCTATTAGAACAATGCGTGACAAGATGCAGTAATAATGTAAACAAAATTCTATAATATTATGTGTGAAAAGACAAGACACATATATACACTTCTAACTCTAACACACATATTTACTTCTAACTGTAAAAGAATTGATTTGCCTATGTTTATTAAGCATTTTTAATTCAGCTAAAATATTATTTATCCTATAAATCTTGAACATTTTTTTTTCATAACGCATGCACACGCGCGCGCGCACACACATTAAATTTTATTTGCACAAAAAATCCTTTTGTTTATTTGGGACATTTTTACTAAATTTCTTAATAATCAACAGATTAATTTTTACTGATAATAAGTTTAAAAATAAAATAAGTTTTGCTGATTTCTAATTTATTACTGCATCTGTTGTGCAGTAATTATATATTATTATTTATTTGCTCATTATCGAATTTAGGAATTGAAAGAGAGCGAAGACGAGAGGGAGGCTTTACTTGTTGGAATATGCGACGAACAGAAGGGACATGGAAGTGGCGCGTCGCCGCCGCAATCAGCGGATGAAGAGAGCGATATCGAAAGTTTGCACAGTTTTCACTACAGTCCGAAAGCGGTAGATTTGCCCTCCGCGATCCGACTGGCCAAACGTCTCTATTCCTTAGATGGCTTTAAAAAGTCTGATGTCTCTAGACATCTAAGCAAGAAGTAAGCTTTTTCTGTTTTTCTGATTGGATCCTTTAAGACTTTAGAATTTCCGATTTTTATTTCGAAATAATTTAAACAAAAATTCGATATTTTGTATAATTGAGTTATTCAAAAATGTTTAAAAGAATCCATCATTAATTGTACATAAAATGTGACAAATTTCAAAAATATCAGTATTATGAATATGTCATGTGTTTTGTGTTTGTAGCAACGATTTTAGCAAAGCTGTGGCGGAGGAGTACCTGCGCTACTTTAACTTTGAACGAGACACACTGGACATGGCTCTCAGAAAATTTCTCGCTCAATTTTGTTTGACTGGAGAGACTCAAGAAAGAGAGAGAGTCTTAGTACACTTTTCCAAAAGATATTTGGACTGCAATCCCGGTAGTTTCAATTCCCAAGGTGAGTGCATTTTAGAATATATATTATTAGCTTTGTATTTCGTAAATTAGAATATTATCGAGTAATATTTATCTAAGATTATTAATATGTTCTTTTTTTCTCCCGCATGTACATAGGTTAAACTTATTAAATAATATTTATTTAGATGCAGTTCACACATTGACTTGCGCGATAATGCTGCTTAATACAGACTTGCACGGTCAAAATATTGGCAGGAAAATGTCGTGCTCAGAATTCATTGAGAATCTGTCGGAGCTCAACGATGGCGATAACTTTCCACGCGAAGTGCTCAAGCAGCTTTACAATGCCATCAAGTCCTTTCCTCTCGAGTGGGCTCTGTAAGTGACGTTATAAATTTATCTTCTTTAGAATAGTAATTAATTAAATTCTTTGTGATTAGTATTAATAGTTTCTTTTAGAATAAAAGTTGGAATATATTGATTTCTTTCAGAAAGTGTATAATAACTAAACTCTGGTTCAAATATTTTTCGAATAAATTCAGCTCTACGTTCTTCATTGTTTTAGGGACGAAGAAGGGGATGAAGCGACGAACCAAGCAATTCAGCAAGGCGATGGTACGGCGGCAATCGCCGGGACTGGAAATCCATTTCTCGATGTGCCAAATATTACGGGCGCTACGGAGTTCAAAAAGGGCTATGTTATGCGTAAATGCTGTTATGACTCCAATGGCAAAAAAAGTATGAAATTCTTATGTTAGCTCTTACACAAAATATATTAACTAGAGCATTTATCTTATGTTATATAATCTTGTATATTATGTCTTTCCCATATATCTCTTATAATATTTTTCGTATATGTTACATAGCTCCATTTGGCAAACGTGGATGGAAGATGTATTATTGTACATTGCGTGAGCTTGTGCTATACTTGCACAAGGATGAGCACGGCTTCCGTAACGACAGTTTACACAATGCTATACGTATTCATCATGCATTAGCTACTAAAGCGACCGATTATACAAAGAAACAGCATGTTTTTCGGTTGCAGACTGCCGACCAGGCTGAGTATCTCTTTCAGACCAGGTTGGTACTTCGTATGTCAAGTTCAGAAAATTTCTATTTAATATTAAAATAAAACAATATGTAAAATATTCATAATAAAGATTTTAATTGAATTTTAACTTAAATTGAATTTAAATTGATTTAATTATGTCTTTAATCGTCAAATTATAATTTATGATTATTAAAATTTTAATTCTAACTGTTATGATTATATGGTTTAATTTTAATTTTATTTTAACTTTCAATTTGACATGAGTTTAGGAAATAATGACGTAATGTACTGATATTTCTGCAGTGATTCGAAGGAACTGCAATCATGGATCGATACCATCAATTTTGTATGCGCCAGCTTTTCATGTCAGCCTCTCGCAGGTGCTGTTGGGTCTCAGCGTAAATTCCAGCGTCCATTGCTGCCATGTAGCCATACCAAATTAAATTCTGTGAGTATCCAATACATATCTCATTTTTTAGCTTCTTTAAATTTTTCTTAACTATTGCCTGGATAAAGGAGCAGTGATATTTGTGACGCCAGCGTGTACATGTATTCGATTTTTAAATCTCGTTAATTAATGAACTTATGAACGATACATTAATTTTAAATCGAGTATCGGAATTCTTCAGAAGAGTCTCATATTACAGTAAAGATTGTTATAACAAAAAATTAATAATTTAATTTAAAAAATGAAAATAACCTTGAAAAAATCTAATTAAAGATTACTTTTTTGTCATTTTATCGGCCCCTTGAAATTGAACTTTGAAAATCTATGAAATTTATTTTTTGAAAACATTATTTAAGATAACATTTCAAGTGATCATGATGTAAGGGTTTATATTGTATAATAAATATTTGCGGTATCTAGGAAATTGAAGTTAAACTGAGATATCTTGAGATGTTAGAATTATAAAAATACCTCGAATTAAATTAATTTTCTCATTTGTTTAGTTAAAGGAAGTGAAGAGGATTAAATTAATTTGTTAATAGAGAGAACAGTTGCGGGACCATGAAGATAGGGTCAACAGGCTAGAAACAGAACTGGAGGAGCACAGACGGCATCCTCCGGAAAGAGGTGCCAAGGCTCTCACTGTACAAAATTATAAGGAAAAAGATGCATATTTGCATCACGAGGTAACTTTTAAGCAATTGAAACATATCGTAATATAATAATTTCTTGACAATTTTGAATAGTTATCTGAAAAATATCTTTAACAAGAAACCTTTAAAAAAGAATTTTAAAAGTCTTTAAAAAAGTCTTTTTATTAATTGAAAGAATCAAATTTTTCCTATTTTATCCCAAGACTTTCACATTTTGTATAGATAATTAAAACTCAGAAATCTAGACATAAAAACATTTCCTATTAACACAAAATTACGATTAAAAAGATTTCAATCTTATAAAAAATTTATATTTTTATTATCTTTTATTCTAATCATAATTTTATTTTTTTTTTAACTTCTTTCTTCCTCTTGCTATGCGTGCGCGTGTGCACATATACATTTTTTAATAGTCATTATCAGAAGATAGTTATAAAATATAACACTTTGTTTGAAAAAAACAAATGTGTCCTTTACCTCTCCAAAGTGATTCTACTTATAGAAAAATTGTCATCTTTATATGATGGTTTCCTCTTTACCCATGCAACCTTTTACCAATTTTTCTCTAATTCCTATAACTTTGAAGATATTAAAATGCTTGTTCTTATTGGTTTCTATCTTGTTCTATTGGTTTGCCTAAAAATAATATTAAGCATGTGGTAATTAAAAATTCAAGTATTTAGAGAATTCAATTCAATTATTTAATAATTTATTCAGTGCCTTTTCTACTCGAAATTATCATTGAAAAGCTTAATGTTTGATTTTTTTTTAAAATAAAGAAAGGATATATATTTCCTTTTTTATTTCCTTTTTCTATTTTCCTTTTCTATTCCATTTAAAATTATCCTCTCACTTCATAATACTCTACAGAGCAACCCTCGTTCCAGCTGAAGCGGTATAAGACATATGCCTATCTTCTTCGTTCCCGGCTGACGTTCAGTGAGATGGAATCGTCGTTAGTTGAAAGCAGTATTGGCGAGGTAGACGAGGGCATGCTACTTGGACCTACTGGAGTTGTAGGAAACGCAGAAGGGGCTCTAGTACCACCGCCGGTCCCCGAACGACCAGCCGCAACTAATAGGTACAGTTACCGGACCGCCATTTACAGCGGCGGTGGCCGCAATCTGCTGAACGGTGGCAATCAGGACTATAATGCTGCCGGTGGTGATGTTGGTTGACGCAATGCTTATGGCCTATGCGGGCTAGTCTGACCCCGGTGCTGGTGTTGGTGCTGGTGACGTTGATGTTTGACGATAGACACGAGTGACGCAAACTAACGATATATCCGACAGCGCATCACACACTCCAATGATGTTATTAAGTGTTACAACGTACAATCGAGAGCAAAAGTACTGTCCTATTCAGTGTCGTGAAGTTGAACTGCAGCTGTATCAAATTTCTTTCCTTTCCTGAGACGACCGATTGGTTGGAGAAGAAGATACAGTGAAATTTTGAAAGGAAGAAGTTTTATGCAAATGCAGTTTTATTCGCTATATCTGAACCAGACAATATTTTACTGTTGATTGTACACCCCATTCAGTGGCGCAACTATTCGATCAGATTATAGTTATGTCGAAAATAATACAACCAAAGAGAAAATAATTTTTTATGTAAGTGTATGTCAAAATATATATAAAAGTTTTGTCTTTAACAAATTTTTTCTAATTATTTTAATAATAGTAACGCCACTGATACTTTTGTCGTGTCTTCTAATTGCGGTATAGCTATTTTAGCTCTTATTGGATCTATTTATTTTATCCTTTCAAACCTAACTTCTTATGTGTTTAATTTTACATAAAAATATACTTTATGTAAAATTGGATAAATATAAACAAAATTTACTAGGCAGCATATTTACAATAAAATATCGAAGAAAAAATATAGATATATTGTACATTGAGAGAGAGAGAGATGACATGCCTAAAAATACTGTGTATAGCTAGAATTCAATTTAAATAATTTTTGTTTAAAAAAGTATTCGATATAATATCATGTATTGATACAATATAAAAAATTTAAGTCTAAATTCTTTAGTCAGAATCATCAATTTATTATTTAAGTTAATAACATTTAAATATCGAGTATCAAATTGGGAGATTTATAAAAGAATGGTTAAAAATAAAAATTTATTTGCAATAAAATTTTAATTTTAAAAGTTATCGATTTAGATGTAAATGTTAATAATTTTGAATGTCTTTAAAAATTTTTTCTCTTTTATTTCCTTTGCTCATTTTCTTTCTTCTATTTCTTCTTTTTTAATAGAAAGTGAATGTCATTTTGATCTTCTACGAATTCTATTTTATTATTGAAGACAGCGTGCAAAAGAATACTTATGGAGATAACATTATGCTGTTACACCATATTGTTAGTTTGCGCACAAATATTAAATATGCAAATTAAAAAATATATAAAAGTTGAGAGGCTGTTAAGACTGGGTAGAAGAAAATTTTCACGTTTCGATTTGCTGTTATAGAATGTTGAAGAAAATATGTCAATCATCATTTATGACGCAAAGAAAAATATTTACAAATTTGTTATTTTGTTAATGTGGTTTGACATATATATTAAATTGATATATTTTTTATTTATATAACTTTGTACTCGGGCAATTTTTTGTGCTTTTTGTATTATATGCAATAATATATTTGTTGCTTTTGATAATATCTTGTTAAGTTTTTTTACATGCAACATAAACAAATTTTTTTCTTTTTTCTTTCAATTATTAATTAAGAATTTATATATATTATATTAAAGATAGATGTAAAATTAAGCATGCCATATTTTTTATTTAAACTGAATAAATTATATTATGTGTAAATATATTTTTTATTGATATTAATTATATGAAATGTATATTTTATATTTAAAGATAACTAAAATTCTCTCTCCTACTTTTCTCCTATCCATCCTTTTTTCTCCTCTATTTCTTCTTCCTTTTTCTCTTGTTCTCTCTTTCTTTCTATCTTTCTTCTCTATTCTCTAATCTTTATGTAATATTAAAATTGTTATATGTTTAGTCTTAATTAACTAAATGTTTGTTTAATATTATATATATATAACAAATTTGTTTATATATATAACAAATTTTCTTATATTTCGATATATTAAAAATATAATATTAAATTTGATTTAAATGAAATTAAATTTTTTCCTTCATGTTTTTTTATATAACATGTAATAATATTACTTTGAATGATTAAATTATACAACAATTTGTGTTGCATTATTCTATTTTAAATATTTGCAATAAATATTTATTTTGGCAATAAAGTTCAATTTTAATTAAATAGAAGTTGGATATAAATACAATATTAATATGTCAAAATTAGACAATTATAATAAAGATATTTCTATCATAATGATTTTAAATTACTAATGAACGAGAAGTTAACGATTGAAAAAATAGATAAAAGTATATATAATGAAATTATAGTGATTTTTTAATTTCTATATATAAGTTATATAGTGTTTTATATATAATATATAATATACATACGTATATACATACGCATACATATGTATATATATATATATATTGTGTGTATGTATATATATTTATATGTATATGTATATTTATGAATGGAAAAAATACGAATATAATAAAAATTACTATACAAATAAATTATTGTTTAAGAAAAAGAAACACACGAATGTTCTAGCCGATATATGATATATCGTATATGTAAAAACTCAATGCTCTGTATACACTTTACGTATAAAATTAAAAGAGGACAAATTATCTTATTCAGTTTTATTTTTTAATATCATTTTTATTTTAATTTTTTTATTAAAACTTTTGTTGAAATTTTCTTAAGTTCTCTAATTAAATCTTTGTGAGATAAAATTTTTCTTTACATTTAATTTTTCTCTTTTGTTTTCTTTTTCTACTTTCTTTTTTCTTTTTTCGATTCATTAATTTACAAGTTTTTTTTTTATCTCTCGTTTTTATTTCTAAGTTCTTTTAGGGAAAATTGCCATTTTATAGTTTATAGTGAACTCCTTGTACATAAATCTGTAATATATGTGGATATATACATCATAACAAACACTTATAAACTACTTAATATAATAATAAAGATCAACGATCTTCAAGTCTTTCGCATTTCTATATATGAAAAGACCCGATTATTTTCTTTAGAACACGAAATAATTCTTTTTATTTAAACAGTTATAAATTAAAATATGATAATTATGATTATATAATAATTGTTTACATATATATAAATATTTTTATATATTACATACAATATATAAAAAAAATTATTTGTGTATATATTAGCTTTTGCATGCCTTGGTCTTAGCAATATTATTAATTGTATAAAATTATATCAAAGCTTTATTATATGACTGGTTGTACGTATTTTATCATTTTATTTATTTGTTGCTTTTATATTCTGCTATATTGTATGGTTTTTTAAATCAATTTTAAGGCATGGTTGCATGCATGCACGTACATACACAAACATACACAGTATTCATAATTATAAGTACTCATAATTAATTATGATGAATCACTTGTATTTTTTATGTATATATGAAATTATAAAGTTTAAAATGTAATAATAAAATTAATACGTAAGTAGAATAGAAGTAGTTATGCGTTATTAATAATTTAACAACAATTTTAACATTTTTAATTGACAAAACTATTTGCCGAAATTGAAATTAATTTTTTAAAATTAATCCGCAATTTCGGTTGAATTTTTGTAAAAATTCGACAATTTTTTTGTTTATAATAAATTCATATTCATTTGTTGCATGCAACAGAGTTGACCTGGCAGCAACGTAAACAGGATCCAGCAAGATTGTTACATCCAGCTTTCAGGATGTTACTCAGGACATCTTTCTTTTCGCGCAAATATGAAATAAAGTTTGCTGTTAAATCGAATATTAAAATCATTGAAAAATTATGATATTTAAGGAAGAATGAAGATTGTGTTGGCTGTGTCAATCAAATTTATTAGTTTATTAGTCAATAACAAATATAATTTATAAGTTATATGAGATAATTGCCTATTCCTATAGTTCTCATAATAATATGTTATAAATAATATAAGATTGCAGGATTTTAATATTTCAACAATTATGTTTATTTAAGCATCTTCTATATTAATTTTCTATTAAATTATTATAGGTATATCTTTTTATAAATAATATTTAATTATAAAATAATTTTATACTTAAATTTAAATAAGTGAAGAAGTCATATGCTTTTGAAAGATAGTAAAATCAAATTATTGTAAAAGTTTTTCTATAACATTCTTTTTATGACAAATTCAAAATTTAATTTACTAATAGGCTATCTTTATTCTTTCTTATTATTCTTTCTAATTATATAAATTTTTTCAAAACGACAAACAAAAAATAATCAGGATACGTTATAGATTCCAAGATAAGAAAAAGACAACTGAAACCTTGCCTCGCAAGATTAGGCAATCTTCTCGTTTCCTAGCAAAGGTAATTGATTTGATAAATAATAAATAAGGATAAAGTTTCTCTCCGTACTTACGCGAAATATTATTTAAGACTGACTGTAGAAAAATATTATGCACCGAAAATTAAATAATTGAAAAGAAATTGCCAATATGCAAAATTTGTTTCAACTATATAGCGATGATAACATAAATTAGTAATTCCTTCCTAATTCTATAATATAGTAACATGTATCATCAAAAAGTATACAAAATTATTCGTTATAAATATTTTATAAATCTACATGGACGAATAATAAATTTAAATCATTAGGATGCGACAAAGAGGCCAAAGAATTGCATTTATATACATTCTATTAAATTTCGTTTCTTCCATAATTTTACATACACTACACACACGCACGCACGCGCGCGCACATATACATACACACGCGCGCATTTTCAGAACTTTACATTTACATATGTATTAACACAATTTTTAATTTCATTTGATGAAAACTTGAGATAGCATGTTTAGTTTTATTCATTGAATAATTAGGAAATTAATTTAAAAAAATAAGATTTCTTTGTATTTCTTGATTTGCTGCCATTGTAAACATATATTTGTAAATATATTCTTGTTATTATTATTATTATTATTAATATTACTACATTAGTATTATTATTATAATTTTAGGATGTTCATTGATCGATATAATGAAAAAAATGACTGCGTTTTATATTTATGCATTACTATTATTATATTATGTACCTTTGTAAATATAATTATGTAGATATTAAAATAAAAAATCGTATAAATAATTACTTTATATATATATATATTTCACAATTTTTTAAACATTAAATGATGATAAAAAATAACTCCACAACATAACAAAAAGTTAGGTATTAAAAAGAGATGGAAAAGGGAATATTTTTTTATTAAAAATCAGTCGCATAATGAAATCGGTATAATAATTGTATATAATTCTTCCAAATCGTTTCAGATTTTTTCAATTGCGCTTTACATACATATATCGGGTGATTCGAAAATAAAACTACTTCATATTATATGTGTATATATATAAAATGTGTGTGTATGTATATATATGTGTATGTATATATATATATATATATATGCACACATACATAGAAACAGTACGGTGCACACGGTATGCGTGTGTATCTATATCATTATAATTATACATGATAATAATAATAATTATATAAGATAAATGTTCTATATTACAACAAATCATCATCGGACCAAAAGCACAAAGAGTGAACTTTCTCTTTTCTTCTTTCATTCGCGTACACAACCCATTTCCCCTTTTTCTCGATCTTTCAACATTTTTTCTCTTCTCGTATACAATAATATACAAGCAATTGATATTTTTTCTGAATACAACGACAATTATAATATATATTGTACAACACTTTGGAGGAATGTGATGGCGTCTCTGATTAGCACCACAACTTCTTCGATTTATTTATCCCTTAGTTTTAACCCTGGATCACTCCTACAAACTAAAAAAAGTTCATCTTAACTCTCGCTTTCGCTTTCTCTCTCTCTCCCTTTCTCTCTCTCTCTCTCATCATGGAAAAACAAAATAAATTAATTCTTTCCTTGAATTACCAAGTACAAAAAGCCAAAAAAATAATAATAAAAATATTGCAATATTGTTGAATTTATAAAAACAAAAAATGCATATTTTTAAATAATATAATATATATATTCCTCTTTTTATCAATTAGTTTTTAAATTTTTTTTCTAAAATTATATAATGTAATTACACAATTATATAATGTAATTATATATATATATATATATATATATATATATATATATATATATATATATATATATATTCACTCTTTATCAGTTTCTTCTTTGTTTGAACTTAAATCTAAGAATTATAATTTTTATAATACAATTATAAGGATGTACAATTTTTTCTTAGAAAATTGGAGAAGAAAATATTATATAATTTCATTATATTGCTTAATCTCTATCAAACCATATTTTAGCGGAATATTAAATAACGAAGAAGTAAATCCGGGGTTAGTTGTGTAATTACTATTGCGCAATGGCACTTTACAAATTAAATTACAGTTCTTATTCTATATGTGAATGTGTGTGTGTAACGTATTTATATAGATACACATAAATATATAATATATATAAACATATATATATATATATGTTTATATATACATATGGACATATAATATAAACTTTATTCTGTATTTATATATTTATATGTAGAATTTGTTTCACTATATATTTTCTTCGTTTTCATAGGAAATTATTTCTATACAACTTCCTACCTTATATAACATAGCAACAATGATAACAATGGTCAGGGTGGAGAGACTGAGTTTTATTCTTTCTTCTTTCTTCTTTCCTGTTTCTTTCTGTCTGTTGTCGTCAACTTAGTTTGTTTAGTTCATCCACTTACGACAATTGGGTGCGCCGCAAGCGCATGCGATCTTGTGCTGATCATCCTCGATGTCAAATTTGTAGTCATATGCCAGCTGCAAGAGAAGATGAATAAATACAATGTAACAATAGAAAAGAATAAATATAACAATATTTGAGATGTGATGAATACAGGAAGGATTTATGAAAGTACATAATTTTCTAACAGTGTAAATAATATTGAAATAAAAAAGATATTCAGTTCTCATTTTTTTTTTTTTTTTTTTTTTTTCTCAAACGAACGTATAATCACCTCTTCACCACGCGAGATTCGACGCTTGGCAAAAATGATAATCCTAAGATCGCGCTCAACTTCAACGATCTCGGCGACACAGTTGGGATTGCAGGAATGATTGATGTAGCGAGCGAGTCCGCCACACAAAGTCGCATCCACCACTCGCTCCTCATCCAATCGGAACATGTATATACCGCGATTCTGCAATAAATAAATAATATATTTTAATATTAATTAATAGAATATAATTGAAAGAGCTTCATAGAATGTGGTATACTCACTCTAGCCTCATATTGTTTCTCCCTTGTTTCCGCCAACTCTGATCTAATTATCTCTCCAATGTACTCGATCACCATCGTGTGCTTCTCCAGATCTCTCGCCGCATATAATCCCAGACCCTGAATCTTCGATCTCGCCAAATAAACATTATTACGCCATTCCTGCTTCATCTTCTTGTATTGCGAGCTTTTTGAGTGTACAAATTGTTTCGAGTATGGACAGGAAGCAGCCTCGCCAGCGGCAGCTGCTGCGACTAATGTTGAGGAGACTCCGCCGCCCAGCGTTGCAGCAGCACCACAGGTTGGCAAACCAAATGGCACTCCACGTGAAGCAAAGCCTCCTGTGCGTTGCGTGTGCGGTCGTTTCCATGGTAGCTGGTTGCGTAAACGTGCCTCCGTCCGTGCACTCCCGGTTGGATTGATGGCCAGAGGCAACTCCAACAACGGGTTACGACCATATTTAAATCTGAAAGCGGAGAAATGTTTCGCTATCATTTTCCAAAAAATTTAATGTTTCTTAAAGGTCGACAGGAGACACGGTAGAGAGCCGTGAATCACGAATCGTAAAATTCGTATTACGGCCAAAATAATGAGAAAATCGCATTTTAACTGCGATGTTCGTAATCAGCAGCATCGCCTTCTAACTGCTACAGAGCGATTTTTTGGATTTTCCGAAAATTTATTTTGACCATTTTTCCAAAAAATCGCTCTGTAGCGGTTAGAAGGCGATGCTGCTGATTACGAATATCGCAGTTAAAGTGCGATTTTCTCATTATTTTAACCGTAATACGAATTTTACGATTCGTAATTCACGGCTCTCCACCGTCCACCGTGTCTCCTGTCGACCCTTAAAAGCTAGTGGTAAAAGCAAAAGTTGGGAAAAATTATTACAAGAAAATAGTTGTCGATATTATTCATATAAATTACTTCCAAAATCAGATTCTTACCTGTAATCGGTTAGAGTCTCAATTCCAGGTAAGCTTTCCAGTACCCGCACTACTGCTGGCTCTGTTAAACCAAACAGATCTTCTCCTGACACGTATCTCGGGAATAGTTGAACAGAATTCGTACTTCTCCTCAATTCTGCTAGTGGCTCCAAGATTCGACTCCAAACTGCTCGCGGAGTAGCGTCTCTCAGTTCGACATCCTCTTGAAGAGGTTCTTGAACTAGGACACGAAATTCCGGACGACCGGAAACATCGTGAATCGAACAGACATAACGGCAACGTTTGTTCGGTCTGCGCATACTCCAATAAAAACGCACGATTTTGTAGCCCACCGGATAAATATAGTTGGGCGTGTGGAAATTTTGCAACTGATGAGGAAGCAGCTGGCCGACGCTGAGAAAGATGAGAGAACCTACACGAAGTAGATGTTTATTGTCGGAATGGTGCATCACCGCAGCAACCTGACGATTTTCATCGCGTTGGACGTAGACGCGACGGTAGACGGAAAGCGTAGTGAGTTCCTTATCTTTATCTTTTATAAGATGTTGAGGACAAGCCATGGTCTGGAATAAGAATTTGATTATATTAAATTGCATAAGGAAGGAAAAATAAAATAAAAGAATTAAAAAAAATTTAAAATTTAGAAAAACTCTTATGGAAAATTAAAAATCTAACAGAATTGTACTGAAAATACTTTTAACTCTTTTAAACTCATATATTTCATATACATATATCACATTGTATTAAAAATATAATATTAAATAATATAATACTAATGTATAAATTATTACCTTATCTTTATAAAAACCGCAGCCGTCTTTGATAGCACATATCAGGTGGTACCAGTTGGTGCACCTTGGTTTGTAACACTTGACCGTGGCAGCGGATTTTTCACAAATAATGCAAATTTGTATGAGATTGTTCTGCAGGACTTCATCTAGTCTCATAAGTGCGCCACTCTGTGCCTCGTATACAACGTTAGACCATAATGCACAATTGAGATGTACCCATTTATCCACATCGAAGTTGAGTAGTCGGGCTGGCCCATCAGCTGTTGCATCGCCCTGACTTTTGCAAAATACGCAACGACGGGTGTCTTCAGCTTTTGCGGGAGCTACTGCGATTCCCATACGAAACAGCGTCTAAAAGAAAATTCAATTTAAATTTTCCATTCACGATTTTACGTTAAAATTTTGATGTTTATTAAATGTTAGAGAAATCAATATTCACATAAATTCATGCATGACCTAATACAAAACCGTATTTTTGATCCAAGCAATAAATTTTATAAATAATTGAATTATTCACATAAACTTTCTAAATAATTATTAAGCAATATTAAACATGAAAAAATCATTTACCTCGGTAATTTCTCTATCAGTGGGTTTCTTAAATTTGGTTGCAGGTTGCATTATTCCCATCGACCACGTTTTATATCTCACACCTTTCCAAATCTTCGCAGGTGGTTGAGACTCGATAGAATCACCGATTTCTTCATTAATCGAATGTTTCTTTGACCGTTTTTCTTCATTTTCTGCACTTTCGACATTCTCCAACATTTCAGTTTTCACTTTGATTTCTGTCGTTGATTCATTACCGATCTCTATATTCTCAAGCCTCTCCATCTGCTGCTGTTGCTGTTTTATGGGGAATTTCTTCAGACTCTTCAGGTCATCTTCTAACATTTTTGCTTCTGTTTTATGACATAGATGATCTACTATCGTCGCAGCCTGTAAAATAACAAAAAAATTTAATATATATTCTTTTTCAAATAAAATATTTTTTCTAAATATCAATATCATTGCTAAATATCATAATATAATGCGCCATTAATAATATTATTAACATATTTGTTATATTTAAAATTTATATGCGTATGAAATTTATATACGCTATAAATTAAATTGTAAAATAACTTAAAATTCTTACTAACTTTTTTATTTATAATTTATTTAAGATGATTTATTGTAAAATAAAACTATTTACATTAAAATACTTTTTCATTTTTCCTATAACTTATAGAATATTGTATAGATAATATAAAAAGGTATTTCTCTCGTTTTACCTTATCCTGAGTATTGGACGGTGTTCGATGAATGAGAGCAAATTGCATATAGCAAGCCGCTGAGCAAAAGCAAAGTTCATCGCCTGGTTCAGCTTCTTCTTTGCTTAAGAATGGCAGATCTGATGCTTTCTTTCGAATCAAACTATTAAGAATCACAACATCACAATGACGACAGAACTTCGCTGCACCGTTCAGAATGCTTTGTATATCGATTGGAGCTGGAAATAAATCAATATGTTAAAAAATTATGTTTTGATTTTACATATTTAATTAAAAAGTTTCTAATTTTTATCTGTTTATTTTATTTTATTTAAGATATTCTATTTAAGATGTATATATAATGATATTTAAGATATTTTATTTAAGATATATATAATGTCTTATAACTTTTTTCTTCACATAATTTATAATTTTTTCTTTTTTCTTGTACAACAGATTTGTATCAACATTATATAAATGTCATCATAAACATCTTTTATTGAGAGATAAGCATTCTATCAATTACGTACTACCCTCTTTGCCGTCCTTTCCTTTCGTCCTGTACAGCCCTAGTTTCTGACTGGGAGGAGTAGTAGTGCGTTCGACTATTTGATAACCAGCAGGTGGTGTTATGTTCAGAATATTAGCAAGATCTTTAAGTACACCCATTATATCATCGGCAGCCTGACTATTTAAAGTTAAAGTCACGGTGACATTTCCGCTTTCTCGTAAAGGAATCGGAGGAGACTTGCCAAGCCTGAAAAATTATATAGTATCATAAAGAAATAATATCTCATATAATAATAAATAAAAAAATATACATGATGTGCTAAATAATAATAAATAAAAATAAATATACGTACTTGGACACCCCAAAATTCTCCTTGTCTTGTTTAGCTGCATCTTTTAAGTAAGTAGGCTTCAGTTTAATTGGAATCGGCGAAATCAGAGGTATAACGGGTGATACACGTTTCAACCATTCCGCCTCCTCATCGGATTCTTCCTCGATCAATCGCAGTCCGGGGAAACGGTGCATAAATTCTGGTATAATACATTCAGGCGAGGACGAACTCACGATGGTATCAGGAGAGTCCATATCGCGATTTGTCGTCATATTCTCTTTCTTATCATCAGCTACAAAAGAACATTTTTGTTTGATATTTCTATATATAAGGAGAGATTTTAAGTACTATATTACTTCTCTTATAAATGTACATAGAGCAATATATTTATATTATTATTCTATTTGTTTTATATATTTTTTTTATTTTACTAATATTATTTTTCTTCTATTCTTCTTTCCCTTCTATTCCTCTATTCTTATTCTTATTTTTATTGTTATTTCTCTTTTTTCGACTTATATAAACTTCTTATAATTAATATTAAATTTGCTTAGAATTTTATAATTAGATTAAATTAATATTATTAAAAGATATAAATATGTAACATAATAAATAATTGCTCACTATCATCCAATTTCAAAGGCGGAAATTCCTGATCATAAAATCCTCTCTGCGTAGTCGGGGGTTGTTGGGGTGGCAAAGGGTCTAGTTCTCCAAATGGCTGTGTATTATAGTGATCAGAAATTCCAGGTAAACTGGCTGATCCATAATTTCCAAGCAAATCACCAATTCTAGCGTTATAATCTTTTTGACTTCCAATTTTAACAAGGTCTCCGCAACCAAAAATCGGACACACTCCGTAATTACGACTCAGATGGGGTTCTAAAACCGCCATCGGCTGAAGTTGCCGTAACTGAGTCATCAAATTATCCACAAATGTGTCATAATCCTCATCAAGGCGCGAAACTTTACGGGACCGTTTTTTTTGAGGTGCAGTTACTGCATCTTTTCCCTGGCTCTGCTTTCTCTTCTGTTGATACTGTCTCCTCTTCAACTTCTTAAGATCTAAAGTATTCCAGATGCAATTGTTACAATTTAATTTTATATAAGACATAACAAAAAGTTAATATAAAAAAAAAAAAAAAAAAAAATATATATATATATATATATATATGTTACTTACCAGTTTTATCATCCATTGCGCCGTCCATGAGTTCCTCTTTGGTAGTAAGAAAGTCTTTGGTATCCGTCTGCAACTGACTGGCTGACGTGCCAGCAGTGGACAAAACATCCTCAAGACCGATTTCCTTTTTCACCTCGACTAAAGGCACTGTATTGGAACCCGATGGGGCAGCGGACCCGATAACGGTCTGTGGTGGAACCGCAACGGCCCCGTGGTTATGAGGCACTTGTTGTTGAACAGATTGTTGCTGAACGGAAGCAGCCGAAGAAGGAGGAACTTGTTGCTGTACCACTGGTACAACAACACCAGTTGGCTTGTGCGCCACTGCGGTTTGATTTTGGGATTGTTGGATTTGAGTTTGTGGCCCAGATACGTTACTAGAGTTACTGGTCGATAGTTGGACACTCTTCGAGGCTATTCCCGAGGTTACCAATGGCTTATTTTGTAAACCAACCTTCGAAATGGAAACAGCAACACGTTGTTGAGTCTGAGGCCCTTCGCTGATCCCAGTTCCCAGTTTGTTTTGACTTCCAGAAGTCTCTTGTTGATTCATAGAAATATTCGGAGACGTTTTTGTCGTTGTTATTGTTGAAGAAACTGGCTGTTGACTTGATATAGAATTTCCTGAAGAACTTGCTGAAGAAGTAGGAATTGACTTTGTTGTTTGTTGCTTTAAGCTTTCAGTTTGTGCTCTTTGTGTCGTAATCGCACTAGACGATGAAAGAGGAGGTTTAGCAGATTCTTCTTTAGTTGGTGAACTTTGAACCTTTAAGGGTGTCACTGAATGCGACAAAAAGGAAGTTTCCCTCGCAAGAACTTGTTTATTTATTACTGGCTTCGGTGTTGGGGTGTCATTCAGTAACTGAGGAAGCAAAGAAGGTGACGTAGGAAGTACGACTGGCCGAGCCAGTTGTGCTTCCAGCGAAGGAACTATCGGCAGACTGGGCCCTTGCGACGATCCTGAAGTTGTGGCACATGCTGTATTTTGCAATAATTGTTTTAGCAACACATTTTGGGATTCCTCTGATCTTAAAGAATTAGAGGAACTTTTGCTAGAATCTATCTCTTTCTTTTCTTGAATTTTAGACTCTTCAGGATCCTTTTTCACTTTCACCGTAGATTGATTTTCAAGATTATTATTGTCCATTGGTAGAAGACCAGATTTATACTGATTCTGATTTGAGGTCAAAAGGGGACTTGGAGCTTGCGATAAAGTCGATTGAAGAATACTAGTACTTGAAACTCCACTAGAAGTTGCCAAAGGTGGCACAATAGTCCTAACACATTGCATTGAGCTGGTTACGGCTGAGCTAGTATTTACCAGTACTCGAGGTGTGGAACATCCTGAACTGACTTGGAGGATCGCCTGAAAATTCTGCGAGCGTTGTATTGAAGTCGATGGCAAAACAGAACTTAAATGATTAGCAGACTGGGTTGATACTGTGTTGCTTCGACCATGACCAGCAACTGAAGGTTTCAAGGAAGTAGTTCCAGCCAGCATAGCATTCAACATGGCGTTTGAAGTAACAGGAATGGAGGTTGTAATGGCTCTAGAAGTAACTATACCCGAAGAAGTACTTGAAAGATTAGAAACCGTAGTAGTCTGACAAGTTGTTGCTGAAGAAGTCACTCTAAAGATCTGCTCACTATTACCAATCTTCGAAACTGTAGTAATAACTCCGCTACATTCTTTTAATTCTTTTTTCTCTTTCGTGGTCAATTCTGAATCTTTTGAAGGTTGAGGGCGACCTTGATCTATTCTTGTCAAAGTCGAAACACCACTCTGAACATTATTATTATTATTATTGTTGTTGTTATTATTATTATTATTATTAAATAAATTCAATGTCGACAAAGGGTTAGAAGTAGACAAAACGCTTCCAGATTTCACTGAAGAAACCATGGTGACCACTCCAGTTTGACTCATTGTTGTCTGATTACTTTGCCCGATAGATGATAACAGTGTCCTCAATTGATGGGATACGTTGACCACATTGGAAGTCAATTCTGTTGGTTTCGAGAGTGGCGATAAATGAGGAACTGTTGTCGTGTTTTGCAATTGCGCTACGGTACTAGCTACCAAAGTGGAAGCTTGGCTCGTCGGTGAAGAACTCTTTTTCACTTCAGAATTTTGACTTTTTATTTCATTTTTAGCTTCAGTTGAAGAAACTTGATCATTTTCGAGATTATCTTGCTCTAAATCCATCAACGAATCTTGAAGGATATTTAAAGGCAATGTATCCAACGGAGTTGGCATCTGATAAATGAGACTTGATTTTAGCTCGCTACTGTTTGCCATTTCTGGTTTTGACGAAATAATATTATGCAACATATCTAAAATATCATCAGAAGATTCCTCCATTAAAGTTTTTTCTTCATTCAAACAATGCTGAAGAAATGGTTTAGAATTCTCCATTCCGGTACAAAGTTCTTCCTGACGATTCTTTTCATTTGAAAGTGTATTTTTGTCATTATTAGTCTCTTCAATGTTCTTCTGAATTTCTCCTGATTTATTCGTTGCTTTTTGCGTATCAGAATCTGGAGACGTCTGTTCTTTATCATTCTCCACCGGTTCAGTGTCGTTTTCCAAGATGTTGACAAGCGATAGATCATCGGTAACGGGTGACATCCTTTTCAGAATCGTCGTTGGAGTATCATTCTTATTTCCAACATTTTCTGCAGGATTGTGAATGGCTTCTAACATGCTCTCCAGTTCGTCTGTAGTATTTAACGGATCAGTTTTCTTCTCTTCAATTGACCCTGAAAAAGTATTTGATGATGTATCCGAAGAATCGCTTTCATCTTTGATTTTGTCCAGGATCTTTTTCTCCTCCTTCTTCTTCACTACGCCTTCCAGATTTTCTGTTAATTTCTCCTTACTCTTTGAAGTAATATCCTTTTTTGATAGGTCCGGAATCGACATTTTCGGAGTAGAAAGCGTCACAGAAGTTGGTTGTACACTTAATATTAACTTCGTAGAATTATTCAAAGATTCCGTTGTATTTATCGTACTCGAAAAGGTTGTCAAAGGCTTATCTGAGAATAATATTTTCGGCATTTCATTGGCAGAGATGATTTTCGGGTTCAATTTTTCTTGCTGAGAATTGGAGATATTTTCCAAAGCGGTTTGACTAAGCTTCGCGGCAATCTTTGCATCCGCCACAATACTTGCCATCGCTGACAATGTGACACCTCTTTGATTGCTAAAAGAGCTCGAGGAAACTTCCTTCAAGTCAAACTGATCTGTTATTTTAGCTTCTGTCACAATTGGTTGAATTGAGACTTGATTCAGTTGAGAACTGGAACTAATAGAAACTGAACTGGAAGTCGAGTTTGAAGAAATTGTATTTATTAAGGAAACCGCCGATTTTGAGACTGTTATATTAATATTTGTTGGTACGGTTGAGACTGATATTTTGGTATAAGATTTATCTGAAAAAATAAAGTTTGTAGGACTTTTGTTTTGTTTTGAAAATCTAGTTTGATCATCTGACGAACCTTCATTAGATGTATTTTCCTTGGGAGCATCAGTTTGTATGTTATCAGTTTTTTCAATCTCTTCGTCGCAAGAACCCTTAGAAAGATTGTCTTCAGGAGATTTCGTCGTAGGATCAATGATAACCACTTCAGATTCACTTACTAAAGATACCATAAGTTCTTGATCAGGAGACTGATCCAAATAAGGACCTGGAGAAGGATCAACTCGAAGTTCTTCTTCATCTGGAGATTCTGGAGTATCAGTTACAGCGACTAGCTTCTTTCCAGACTGCAAGGTCCTCACTATATCGAGTCTAAGACCTTTTTTATTCCTTGAATGAGACGGGGCTAGATCTTCGTCACTTAAAATCGGTTCTTCTGATTGTGATTCAGAATTATCGATTTCTAAAATCTGCACTAAATCGTGACCTTGACCAGCATCGTTCACTAAAGCGTGACAAAGAGAATCGTTACTATCAGCAGAGAGATCCACCACCATTCCAGGTTCAAAGAGAACATATTCTTCCTGCATATCACCTTCTAAAGTTCCTGAAATAACATCAACCAACTCCGAGTCGCCAAACTGTTCAATCACAGTGATATCGTCACTATCTCGTTGAGCTGTGGAACTCAAAGTCACCTCGGTATTGACTATAGTTTTATCATCATCATAATCTGTCGTATCTGGAAGATGTTCCAGCTTTTCTCCAGGACTTTCCAAAGTTAGAGATCCATTATCTAAAGTTGAAGAAGTTAAAGAAGAGCTCTGAACAGCTGATTTCACCTCCAAAGTTGTTGGTGAAGCCTGTGGCGGCGTATGCGAATCGTCGTCGAAATCATTGTAATCAGCACAGACCAGCGAGCTGATTCTGGTGGTTTTCCGATTCGTAGAAGTATTTGCTTTCTCTTCCAATGACTGTTCTTTTTTCGCCTGGGACGTTTCCGATCCTTTACCACCCTTACTGCTTTCTGCCTTGCTCGACCACATCGGCGATCCACCCCTTAAGCCCAACTTGAACCATCCAAACCGTCCAAAATTAGGAAAATGTATTGGCTTTGTCGATTTATTGAGGCTTTCCCCATTTTTAGTAGAATTTTCTGATAAAAAAATATGTTCTTGAGAAACTTGTTGACAATCCTGCTCCTGATTACCTGGTGAGCCGCCCCTCAATCCTAATTTAAAATATCCGGGCTTTCCAAAATCAAGAAAAGGAATTGGATTTAAGGAATTATTGGAGTTTCCTCCACCTCTAGGAAGATTATCTGATAAAGAACTTTGTTCTTGAGAAACTTGCTGAGAAATTTGCTGAGAAACTTGTTGTTGATCATTTGAAGTTGCAGTTAAATTAGCATTTTGTTGGACAAAATTATGAGGTGTGTGGGGTGTTCTTGGAGTTCCAGGGTTTTCCACACTCTGAGGTCTGTCTGGCATAGCCGGGCTATTTCCGGTAGACTGTCTTCGCTGCATCTGCATAGGAGATCCGGCTACCATAGGACTTCTAGGCATCATAGGAGAGCTAGGTGGTTGATTGGTTGTCGAGGAATGATGATGATTACCATGAAGCATTGGTGAAATCCTGTTCATTGGACTGGGAGGTTGTGAAGTCGGATTCAACTGTTGTTGAAGCATCGGAGAACCCATTGTTGTCTGTTGCACCATGGGTGAACTTGGAGGTTGGCCATAACCTTGTTGAAGTTGCTGATGAAGTTGCGGACTGGGGGAGTTTGATGGTTGGGACACCATCGGCGAATTGGGCGGTTTTTGTTGCTGTTGTTGCATTTGCAAGAATTGCCGTTGCTGTTGTTGTTGTTGTTGGAGGATATGCTGTCGTTGCTGAGCCATTTGGAGTGATCTTGTGCCAATAGAATTCTGTCCTTCCTGAGAAATACCCTGAGAAACACCTTCATGTTGTTGATGAAGAATTTGTTGACGTTGCTGAACCATTTGAAGTGATCTTTGAGCAATAGAAGCCTGTCCTTCTTGAGAAATAACTTCATGCTGCTGTTGGTGGAGAATCTGTTGTCGTTGAGCCAATTGCAAAGATCTTTGAGCAATAGTATTTTGTCCTTCTTGAGAAACAGATTGAGAAACACCTTCATGTTGTTGCTGTAAAATTTGTGGTCGTTGTTGTGCCAGTTGCAATGATCTTTGAGTAATAGCGCATTGTCCGTCTTGAGAAACATCTTCATGTTGGTGCTGTTGTTGAAGAATTTGCTGTTGACGCTGTTGAGCTATTTGTAAATTTCTTTGAGCAACAGTATTTTGTCCATCTTGAGAAATATTTTCATGTTGCTGATGTTGGTGAAGGATTTGTTGACGATGTTGTGCCATTTGTAATGTTCTTTGAACAACATTTTGTCCAATTTCTTGAGAAATATTTTGTGAAACACTTTCATGCTGCTGTCGCTGCGCAATTTGCAGATGCCTTTGAACAGTAATATTTTGCCCATCCTGAGAATTACCTTCCTGTTGTTGCTGAAGTATCTGCTGCCGTTGCTGAATCATTTGCAGCGTTCTAGGACCGATAGAATTTTGTCCTTCTTGAGAAATACTCTGAGAAACAATTTCATGTTGTTGCTGGAGAATTTGTTGGTGCTGTTGGAGAATTTGTTGTCGTTGCTGCGCCATCTGCAAATTTCTTTGAGCCGCAACAACATTATGATTTTCTTGAGAAATAATATCATTCTGCTGCTGCTGCTGAAGAATTTGTTGTCGTTGTTGTGAAACTATTTGCAACGATCTTTGATTAATAGAATTCTGTCCTTCCTGAGAAACACCTTCAGGCTGTTGTTGAAGAATTTGTTGCGGTTGCTGAAGAATTTGCTGTCTTTGCTGAGTCATTTGCAACGATCTTTGAGTAACAATATTTTGTCCATCTTGAGAAATGCCTTCTTGTTGTTGTTGCTGCTGCTGCTGCTGCTGGATAATGTGTTGTCGAGCCGTTTGCAAATTTCTTTGAGTAACAACATTCTGTCCTTCTTGAGAAACATCAGTCTGTTGTTGCTGCTGAAGAATCTGTCTTTGTTGAACCATTTGCAAATTTCTTTGAGTAATAACATTCTGCCCATCTGGAGAAATATCATTCTGTTGTTGCTGCTGGAGAATTTGTTGCCGAGAAACACCTTCATGTTGCTGTTGCTGAAAAACTTGCTGCCGCTGCAATGTCCCCCGAACGACAGTACCTTGTCCTTGATCTTGAGCGACACCTTCATGCTGTTGCTGAATAATCTGCTGTCTCTGCAATAACTGCTGATGCTGCTGTTGATTCAGCAATTGTTGTTGTCCTGACTGCGGATTATAAACGACCCCTCTCCTCTGCGTCCCTTCTGGTGGCCTGACAAACCTTTGAGGTAAACTATGAACTCTCACACCCTGATCAGCCATCAATTGTTGCTGATTTCGCGTTTCCGCTGTAAAGGCACCAGGAGAAGTTGCTAATCTTCCGCCAATAATGGCTCTGTGTTGTGGCGAGGTCATTCGCGTAGTGTTGGGATTGCACAGACCCGGAGAAGGCATTGGCCCAGGACTGAAGGGACTTTCGTCACCTTGAGAATGAGGAGTGCCAATTCTTGGCGATTGTTGCTGAACATTATGAGGTGACATTGTACCTGGATTAGTTGATTGAGGGTTGCCTGGACTATGTTGAAGTAGCGGTGTACCTGGACTATGTTGAACAATTGATGGAGTTGCTGGGGAATGTTGAATCATACTGGGACCAGGACTTTGAGAGACCAATGCCGCTGGAGAATGCATCGGAGAATGTTGAGAAGGTGACATCAACGGAGAACAGGGTTCGTTTGGTTGGGGTTGAGTCTGTCGTTGTTGTTGTTTGTTATTATACTCCTGGAGCAATATGCCGTGTTGACGATGTTGCTTACGCGAAGTATCTAAATGTTTCTGAAGAGCGGCTTGCTCGACAGAAACTCGTTGCAGTTCAGCGGCGTCGTTCTCTGTCAGTTCGTGACCAGATTTACGAAGTTGACGTTGTTTACTATTGAGAGACTGGAAAGAAATGAGATAAAAAAAACATGAAAAATGCGAAAATGCAGGACAAATTAGAATTAAAAAATTAAAATTAAGATTAAAGCTTATTATTGTGAAATGTAAAAATATTTTGGTAAGAATTATTATAATATCTAAGTAGTTTTAGTTAATAGTGTGATATAAATTTATTTATATTTACCTTTCTTATTTTACGAAGTTTTTGGACCTCTCCCTCATAATATTTCAATTGTTGCAATAATATCTGCTGCTGACTATTGAGCCATTGTTCATAATGCATCTGCGTTTGCCGATCTTGCTCATTAACTATATTTTCTGGTGGAGTAGGTGGTGCTGGTTTTTGAGAAATGTTGAACATAGCCACTCTTGCTAAATTAATAGAAATAAATAAAGTTAAGTTAATATAAAATAAACTAAAACTATTGTAATGTTTAAAATTATCTATTATTCAGACAAAATTTATCGTCGAGAACAAGCTTAATAAAACTTTAATCAATTTTAATAAAAATTAATAAACACTACGTATAACTTATTTTGTGACTTGATTTACTTTTTATCTTAACTGATTATCTCTTTTTATTTTAATAAATTAATTCACCTTAATAAATTATTCTCGACTATTAAATAACCATCCAACTAAAAAACATGTAATAGAAGACTACTAACGTTCAGGCGGGGTTTGTGTTGCAATCGGCTGTCTCGACCCCACTTGCGCCGCTGCTAGTTTTGTCGTCCCTTCAGCAGCTACACCACTTTGTTGCCAGTTAGTGTTAGGTGCGGAAGGTGATCTCGCCGTACAAGGTGGTCTTATCACGGGCACCATACCCTGAGGAGGTGATGTAGTGCCCAAAACATCAGCTTTAAGTTTTTCGAAATCGCTGTCGCTCAAAAGACTCCCTCCGGTGACATTTTCGGTCTGTTGTTGCTGTTGCTGTTGCTGCTGTTTTTCTTGTTCCCGTTTCTCCTGCTCTAACAGCTCCTCCAGCAATAATGGCTGCTCCTGTGAACACGACTGCTCACAGTCAAGGTCGATTTTTGGTACAAGAAGTGCTACTTTGAAGGTCTAAAGGTTAAAATTGCGATTGCATTAGGATTGAATATTAAGTTGTAAAATCAGCTAAAATTATAACTACACATGTAAATAGTTTAAGTGCAGTGTGTGTGTGTGTGTGTGTGTGTGTGTGTGTGTGTGTGTGTGTGTG